CGGGAGCGGGGCCGGGAGCGGGGCCGGGAGCGGGGCCGGGAGCGGGAGCGGGGCCGGGAGCGGCGCCGGGAGCGGGAGCGGGGCCGGGAGCGGCGCCGGGAGCTCACGCGGCCTCTCCCCGCGCGCGCCGCAGCGCGAGGTGGAGATCCTCATGTTCCTCAGCGCCATCGTCATGATGAAGAACCGCCGCTCCAGTGAGTGCGGGCCCGGGCGGCACCGGGGGGGCGGGCGGCACCGGGCGCCCCCCTCACCGCCCCCGCCTTGCTCCCGCAGTCACGGTGGAGCAGCACATCGGCAACATCTTCATGTTCAGCAAGGTGGCCAACGTCATCCTCTTCTTCCGCCTCGACGTGCGCATGGGGCTGCTCTACCTCACGCTGTGCATCGGTGAGCGCGGGGGGCGCGGGCGGCGGCGCCGGGCCGCGCCGCGGGGCTCAGCGGCCGCCCTCGCGCGCAGTGTTCCTCATGACGTGCAAGCCGCCGCTCTACATGGGCCCCGAGTACATCAAGTACTTCAGCGACAAGACCATCGATGTGAGTAGCGCCGCGGCGGGGCCGGCGGGCGGCGCGGCGCCCCGCTGAGCCCCCGTGTCCCCCGGCGCCAGGAGGAGCTCGAGCGGGACAAGCGCGTCACCTGGATCGTGGAGTTCTTCGCCAACTGGTCCAGCGAGTGCCAGTCGTTCGCGCCCATCTTCGCCGACCTCTCCCTCAAGTGAGCGGCGGCTCCGTGGCAGGCCGCGGGGGCGGCCACGGGGCCGCCTGCGGTGACGCGCGCGCCCCGTGTCCCCGCCAGGTACAACTGCCCGGGGCTGCACTTCGGCAAGGTGGACGTGGGCCGCTACACGGACGTCAGCAGCCGGTGCGCGGGGGCCGGCGGCGGCGCGAGGGCCCTCGCCCGGGGCCGCCGCGGCCGCCCGCCCGCAGACAACATCTTCTACCTGAGCGAGTACCGGGAGCTCTTCCTCACGCTCTTCCGCAAGTTCGACGAGAGCAGGCAGCCGCGCA